CAGCTCATTTGCTTTACAGAATATTAAACCCGGAAGTAAGTATTCTCTCCGCTTCGCTTGACAAACCCCGTGATAGTCCTCAAGCTCTGTGATTGGAGAGTGTGCTCCGAGGGTTACGCCGAGCGTCGAACAGCACGTCATATTCTGCACATTTCTTATACTATCTACATACATCTTATATAAGAGTATAATACATATGTATAATATCAGTTAAAATAAGTGCTTCAACATAGTTAACATTGCTGGAGGTATACACAAAGTTCATTCATTGCATAACTACACCGTAGTTGTGTATATGATATGTCAATATCAAATTAGTGTTGATACTGCAAGGAGACGTATTGTGTGAAAATAAATGTAAGATGGTGTTTAATTGCTGATATATTTATGATCCATGTCACGTTTTCAGTGTTGGCGGCAGTTTCTCCTGTTTGTCTAGAAGTCTTCTCATCAAGGCTCTATAAATAGAGAACTACGGCAGATATGTAATATTTAATGCAGTCGAACCGTGTATTACAATGCCGTTATGTGATGACTTTCAAAGAGAAAAGCAAGCACACTCGGAATAAAGTGTTTTCGGTCTGTTTCCGGTATTTGTAAATGACGATGTGATGTGAGATGTGAGACTGGAATTGCACAGGGGAAAATAACGTATCTATGCCACCATTTTAGATCCGGATTTTGTTAAACTAATAAGTTTGCGCTGTGGACCAACACTATACATTGACGGGGAAGAGGGTAGCAATAAAGATAACACCATTAAACAGTTACACAACATAACAGAAATAATATCGATAGCAGCGTCCCTAGCAACCACCTTGGTAACAATGAAAACGTTGTATAGACACCATTTCCTGAAGTCATTTTCGTAATAACTAGCAAACTAAAGATCATGTACATCCACTGCACACATAATCTGAAATAACAACTCATATTTCTCGCATCAAATGACATCAAAACGCATTTTAATGGCCAAACTAACTTTAAAATAGGCATTTTACACCGAGAATAAAACGAAGTTCGGCCATGTTTTTTTTTCTGCAGGGAGAAATGTGAAGATCACGTGACATAGACGCCAGCCATTAGAATGAATGGTGAAAAAAAACGTAGGGATCTTACAATTTCAGAGGAGTTTTTGTAGAAATACTACATCCTACGTTGTGGACCAACGTAGTTATTACACATTTTTTTATGAGACTGGGTTGGTATCTCAGAAAATTTGAATATTGTGAAAAAGTTCAATATTGTAGACTCACGGTGTCACACTCTAATCAGCTAAGGTTTCCTGAGCCTTGAAATGGTCTCTCAATCTGGTTCAGTAGGCTTCACAATCATTGGGAAGACTGCTGACTTGACAGTTGTCCAGAAGACAGTCATTGACACCCTCCACAAGGAGGGTAAGCCTCAAAAGGTCATTGTTAAAGAAGCTGACTGCTGTATCCAAGCATATTCATAGAAAGTTGAGTGGAAGGAAAAAGTGTGGTAGGAAAAGGTGCACAAGCAACAGGGATAACCGCAGCCTTGAGAGGATTGTCAAGCAAAGGCCATTCAAACATTTGAGGGAGCTTCACAAGGAGTGGAGTGAGGCTGGAGTCAGTGCATCAAGGGCCACCACCAGTGGCGGCTGGTGGAAAATATTTTTGGTGGGGCTGTTGATATAGTGAGTAAAACATTTTTTTTGGGAGAAATTACCCCTTAAATTAGGACTTCTGGTGATGTAATGGCGCGTTTCCACTGCAGCGCAGAGCTCGCTTTAAGCGTGCCGAGCCGTGCGGGGCCCGTTTTTGGTTGCGTTTCCACTTGGCCTAGTACCGGCTAGCGGGTCCTAATTCACAGTTTTTCTGGCCCCGATTATGGACTATTGTGATGTTGTCTACCAAAATGCACATAAATCAGATCTTGCTCCACTCAACATAGCCTACAATAGACTATGTAGATTTGTTCTTGGTTGTCCTTTTCGTACACATGACTGCACAATGTATAACCAACTTAAATGGCCTTCTTTAAATGTAAGAAGACACACACATTGGCTTCAGCTGATATTTAAATGCATTTATCTTAACTATCCCCCTTATTTAAAGCAGTATTTTGTACCCTACTCACCAAATCATCAAGTTAGACATTCTGTTCAGATTTATTTCTCTGTCCCCTCGGCAAAAAAATGTATTGGCAGAAGAGCGTTCATGTTCAAAGCCCCAACTGACTGGAATACTTTACCTGCTGCTATTAGATCTCTGTCATCATTGGGTATGTTTAAACATGCATTATCATCTCACTTTCAACTGGTCTGTACTGGTTATTAATGAAACTGATATTGATGAAACTGATTTGCTTGACTGTCTCACATTGTAATGATTGTATGCATTGCTTGAATTTTACTTAACAGACTGTATGTGGTTTGTCTTGTGTGTCATGTTTTGCATTTTGTCTTTTTGTTTATGTATGTCTGTAAGTTGTTGATATTGTCGGGACCCCCTTGAAAACGAGATGGTGCATCTCAAGGGGTTTATCCCAATCAATAAACATTTCTATATATATATAATCGTGGTTCTAGGGCCAGGAACAACCAGGCTGAGTCGGGCTGAGTATGCTAAACTAGAGAGAGAATCGCTGGCAAGGGGGCTACAACTACAACAAGATGAACATATTTGACCGTGATTTAATTGTAATACACGTTTCAAAATGATGCCGAAGTAACAACATACTGATACCGGTTAGTAAAAACTATGAATTAATGCTTTGACAAGTCTGCAGACAGACGGCAGGTGAAAAACCCTTTTAAAATGCGTGTTTTCTAAATGGAGCTTGGCTAAGCTAACGTTATATATGCTCCGACCGTCCACACTCACAACAACGGCCTATACAGACATAAATAAACCAGCGACTGTATTCACCATGACACAGGCAGTCTGTGGTTTGTACTTGTTTAACCTTTGTCTAGTTTCTGAACAGATATGAAGAGCTGTGAGCTCTGAGTGCTAAGAGCTAACGGCTGTGTTGTTATGCTATGTTAGCTTTGCCTAGCATGGCTAGCTTGAAGGTACTTGTCATATGTAACTTCGTGCACTCATGCTTTTTAATTTTTTCGGACAAATGCTTCATATCGTTTACCCCCGTCACAGTCCACAGGCACATCGTATCTGTCCCCGGCTGTTTGAAGAGCAAGCATGGGAAACAAAAGACAGCATTTACCTCTTTGCATCAGGTTTGCATCCAGCTAGCCATGCCTTTCTGGTGTACCAGCTACGTGAGAAGCCTCGTTGATACGTTTTGTCTTTTTCCCGAGCTTGCTGCGATATATACAAATCGGGTTGGTCCGGTCCAAAGTCTTTAAGCAACAGTTTATCTCCCAAACTTCTCATTTCGAAAGGATTGGAGAGTAGCTCTTGCACGGAATTGGGTGCGGACCGAGGTCCGGCGACTCCACCTGCACACGAAGCCATTCTCATCCAATTACTGCGTCACCTTGGTCACTCACGAGTCTAAAAAACAACTCACGTCAACGCACGTAAGCAACGTGGGCGCCAACGTGAGCGCCCTCGTGACCAAAATATTTGACGGCGCTGATTGGCTGAAATTATGTTTCGGCGGCACAGTTTACTATTGAGACTTTTGCAACGTGCTGGTTGCTGCTGTTTGGCTCGGGGGCTCCGCCCGGTAATGATAAACTAATGCCATGGGCAACGCCAGGCAGGAAACATGTGACTTATCAGTAACTTTAGACATCGTAGCACAATTTTAAACGAGTTTTTATTGTAGATTATACATTCTACTGATACCAATTGTATGATATTTACCTTGTTAATTAAAAATAAAAATATAAAATATATATATTTTTAAAATATATATTTTTTTAAATATATTTTTTTTAAATATTTTTTTAAATATTTTTTTTTGTATGTGGGAAGAGGTGGGGTGGCGCCCCTATGGGCCGGCCGCCACTGGCCACAACGCACAGACATATCCAGGACATGGGCTACAACTGTCGCATTCTTCGTGTCAAGTCACTCCTGAGACAACGTCAGAAGTGTCTTACCTGGGCTAAGGAGAAAAATAAATGGTCTATTGCTCAGTGGTCCAAAGTCCTCTTTTCAGATGCAAGTACATTTTGCATTTCATTTGGAAATCAATGTCCCAGAGTCTGGAGGAAGAGTGGAGAGGCACACAATCCAAGTTGCTTGAACTCCAGTGTGAAGTTTCCACAGTCAGTGATGATTTGGGGAGCCATGTCATCTGCTGGTGTTGGTCCACTGTGTTTTCTCAAGTCCAAAGTCGGGACCCCCTTGAAAACGAGATGGTGCATCTCAAGGGGTTTATCCCAATCAATAAAAATGTCTATATATATGCAGCCGTCTACCAGGAAATGTTAGAGCACTTCATGCTTCCTCTTCTGACAAGCTTTATGGAGATGCTGATTTCATTTTTCAGCAGGACTTGGCACCATGCCCACACTGCCAAAAGTACTAAGACCTGGTTTAGTGACCATGAAATTACTGCGCTTGATTGGCCAGCAAACTGGCCTGACCTGAACCCTATAGAGCAGTGGTTCTCAACCTGTGGTGCGCGTACCACTGGTGGTACGCCAGCTCCCGCTAGTGCAGTGGTTCTCAAACTTTTTCTGTCAGGCCCCCCCTTTGGACAAAAAAAAAAGTCGGGCCCCCCCAACACAAATAGTCAGGCTCAGTGGCGACGCCAGAGATTTATTTTGGGGGTGCTGTGGGGTAGCTTGACGTTTCATAGAGGGTGCTCAAACATTTAGGGTTTCCCATTAATGTACCGGTCGCTACAGTGGAATTTTCTACTGCAACACTCCCCACGCATATACACAGTGTACCCGCGACTGTCACAATGAAGGCTCGATAATCAGCTCACGGCTGCATATAGGTGTAAGCAGGGGTAAAGTGCTATTTTTATAGGTGGTGTGTGGACCTCACATAGGGGGGTCCGGGGGCAAGCTCCCCCGGGAAGATTTACATAAACATAAAGAATGTTGAATAGGTCTAATGATTTATGGTCATCATTTGCTCCTGTGTCTGCCTTCCTTAGATCCGTTCCAAAGGTCCAACAATTTGTGGAAGAAGTGGTCCCACAGTACAGTCCTTCAGACTTCAAAAGTCATTTCCGATTGTCCAGGGGACATGTGGAAGTATGTGTGTGTATATATATATATATATATATATATATATATATATATATATAAATAACATCAAATATGTATTATCTGGACTGGTGATATTAAAAGCCATTTATTCCTTTCTACCAAACAGGATGTGATGACGACTATTGGCCCGTTCTACTGGAACAGACAGCACAGTAAAGTGCCGCTTCAAAACAGTGTCCTTGCCTGTCTGTGGACTCTATCAAACCAGGAGTCCTATAGGGGGGTTGCTGATCGTTACAATATCACCAAATCCACTGTCTGCCTGCATCTCCATGAATTCTGTAGTCTTGTCACCACCTATTTGTCTCACCCACATTTCCTGGCCCACAGGGCAAAGCCCTACATAATTCTGAGTTAGGATTTCGTGCAGCAGGATTTCCCAACACTGTTTGTGCGGTAGATGGATGCCACATTCCTATTGTGAAACCACACTGTGAGAACCCAGTAGCATACATCAACAGAAAACAGTTTTATTCTTCTGTGCTTACTGGGTTCTGTGACAGTAAACGGAGATTCTGTCATGTTAATGTGGGCCACCCTGGTAGCTGGCATGATGCACGGGCATTCCGGTTGTCTGCTGTTGGGAGGCTGCTTGATGAAGATCCCCAGTCCCTGGTGCCTGAGGGAATGCACATCATTGGGGACTCTGCCTACCCACTATTGCCTCAGCTTATGAGGCCATACAGGGACAATGGCCATTTAACTGCTCGGCAGCGTCGTTTCAATCAAATTAAATGTTGCACGCGTGGTCATTGAGCATACCTTTGGCCTACTGAAAACGAAGTTCAGGAGGCTCAAATGTTTGTACATGAAAAACATTGCAAACATTAGCACAGCAGTCACTGCCTGTTGCATACTTCACAACATGTGCTTGGAGGAAGGGGAAGCAATTGAAGTTGATGAGCAGGTTGAAGCAGCAGATAACAGGGCACCGCATCCCCAGAACCAAGATGCAATGTTGCACAGAAATCAGATTTGTGACCTTTTTTAAAGAGCTCACACACACACACACACACACACACACACACCACACACACACACACACACACACACACACACACACACACACACACACACACACACACACACACACCACCCCCCCCCCACCCCCCCCAAATAACCACTGTCATATTCTTTGTGGAAGACATTTGTTTTTTATTTCCTTTCCTTTTATGCCCACAGTATTGAGTATGTAAGTCGCTTTGGATTAAAGCGCCTAACAAGTAACATGTAATGTCATCCAAAATGATTGGGCAAGTACAAAATAAATGCATATATATGAAAACTAGATATGGTCATTTTCTGCACATGTCAATAGCAGTTGACTATCTTCTTTGAAAATGAAATAACTATATATACATATGTACACATGTACTTGGCAAATAAATAATAATTGCATATAAACATTGTGAACACTTAGTGTATACAAATACAAATATTACAAGGCAATTGCCAGGGATGAAATAATAACTCAACTGCATAACGAGGAAAATAAATAACTAATCTAAACAATATTACTTCCATAAACAAACTGAGGTGGTGTTCTTTATAAACAAATTAATTCAGGGAATACCCAGTGTGGGGGAAATTATGGCATATTGGGCTTGTCCTGCAAAAGCTCAATGATGCGCTCTTGTTGGCTCCCAATGGACTTTAACTGGGAAACAACTTCTCCCATCGCAGTCAACATTTTAGCTTCAAACCTCCTCCTATTTCTCTCCTTCAGCCTTCTCCGGCGCTCCTGTTCTGGCCGCACCAGTGTCTCCAGTGCACTGGTCCTCCTCTCCGAGTGGGCCTCATACAGGTCGTAGAAGGAGGGATGGGAGACTCGAGACCGGATTGATCTCGGCTGAGTGGTGGGCAGGGTCATGGAGGGACCAGGCTGGCCCTCAGAGGCACACGGCAGTGTGGTGGGCAGGGTCATGGAGGGACCAGGCTGGCCCTCAGAGGCACACGGCAGTGTGGTGGGCAGGGTCATGGAGGGACCAGGCTGGGCCTCAGAGGCACACGGCAGTGTGGTGGGCAGGGTCATGGAGGGACCAGGCTGGGCCTCAGAGGCACACGGCAGTGTGGTGGGCAGGGTCATGGAGGGACCAGGCTGGGCCTCAGAGGCACACGGCAGTGTGGTGGGCAGGGTCATGGAGGGACCAGGCTGGGCCTCAGAGGCACACGGCAGTGTGGTGGATGGTTGTGAGGCAGTGGGTAATAGAGGGGTGGAAACAAGAGTGCCTGGAGGTGCGCTCCCAACACCGCACCTCCCAAACAGGTTGTCCATTATCTGTGGAATTGCAGAATTGTTAAAATGGAAATGTTGCTTTTACCAACTAGATGTGCAAGAACAAACTTCTTACCCCATAATATTCCCACGTTATGTTCCCCTCTCCTGTTGAGGTACAACGGTCCTTGGCCCTTTTGTAGGTGGTCAAAAGGTTATTGAGTTTTTTCCGGATTTTGTCTGAGGAGAAACTGTATCCCTCCTTGCTGAACTGCCGTTGTAGAATTTTGTAAAAACCGGGTTTGGAGTGATAGTACACCTGTTGGTGTGTTTTTGTCAGGTCCAAAAGCAGCAGTATGGTGTTGTGTGTGAAATCTGTTAAGACACAAGTGTTAGTAACTCAAACAAATAGCATTTGCTGTTTAGATCCTCATTTTAGTTACTGTACCTTGTGTTGCCTCAAGGTGTTCTGACCGGCTGGAGGGGGATGCCAGGTGAGGAGTGCCAGCTTGGGATCTAGCAGGCCTTACAGGAGCAGGCCTTACAGGAGCAGGCCTTTCATCAGGAGCAGGCCTTTCGTCAGGAGCAGGTCTTTCATCAGGAGCAGGCCTTTCGTCAGGAGCAGGTCTTTCATCAGGAGCAGGCCTTTCAGGAGCATGCCTAGCATCTGAAGACAGATCTAAAGGGACTGTGATTGAGAGAAAATTAAATATTTGTTTACAATAAACATGAATATGTCATTTGTTTGATTTGCATTAAAAGACAATACCATTTTTGATTTAAATGATAGATTACCTTGTGCATTTGTTGCAGCCCTTGCTTGCTGCATAAGTGCAGCTGCTAAACTGTTATCTGAAAAATAATTTACATCATTTAAAATCATATCCAGATTGTTGGAATGCAATTTAGTTGTTTACTCACCATTTTGTAGTCTTTGGGAAATGTCTTGTGAGACTCTTACAGTGATGTCTCCCTGTTCGTCACACAGTGTAAGCACCACAAATTCCATTTTACCCACTGTAGACAAAGGTGATCTCCATTGCTTTATATAGGTTTGTTAATTCAGTCATGATGATGAACCACACCAGTGACTGGGTTCCATAATTAGAAATGCTCCTCCCTCTTAATGTTTGCAAAACTGATAGGTGGACAGGCTACAAATGATCAGTCCCTTCAGATCCGCACACATGAAGCTTAATGAGCATGAATTGAACAGACCTGCTGCTGTGTTAATTCTTTAGCTGCCACTTTAAGCTTTATGATGTGTACAACATGGATGTAATTTGATTTAATCTTGCCATTTTAAATGATGTATTCAATAAATAAGGTTAAACCAAATCATTACATTACAATAGATTTTATTTTAATGATTTGGTTTAACTTAAAGAGAAACGTTATTGTTATTGCACATATTACAGGTACTGAGAAAACGAAATGCAGTTTAGCTTCTAACCAAGTGCAACAAGCAGTGAAGTGGAAAGTAATGTACACAATCTACAGAATAACATATAGAATGAATTGAATGATGAATAAACAGTGGGGTATGAATACACTAGATATCAGCCTGTGAGCAGTATGAACAGTGTGTATGAATATGCTAAGATAAAGTATGAAAACGGTAAGCAGTATAGTATAAAATATATGGATATTAATTTCATGATGATAAACATTGTGGAACAATGATGAAAAATGGGAATGGATGTGGCGACGTAAAACTGACACAAAACAACAACAAACTTTTGCCAGCCAATTGGAGAGTTTCATCAGCAGCACGTGGTAAAAACCACCAATGAGCGCTCAGCTCGAGATACCAGCGAGCCGTTTCCCATCAAGCATTTCGCTTCCGCAGCCCGTGGAGAGCAACTGCGCCAACTCGCAACTGCGCCAACTCGCCTCGCCTCGCCCGTCCACACAGCGGCGTGCGTTGAAGCTTCTAACGCTTCTGCCCATTCACTTTGAATGGGGTGACGTCACTTTTAGCCGAACTGCATTTTGGGAAGCGACGTGGAGCGTTGCTGGCGTAGCTGGCGTCAAAAGTTGAGCAATGTTCAACTTTTGACGCCTCGACGGAGGCGTCAGCCAATGAAATCCCGTTTATTCAAATCTGCCAGTACAATCGCTAGCCAATCAAACCGCGTGTATGCTGGGAGAGACTACGCAGGTCATTTCCTCATATTCAAAAAAATTGAGGGAAAATTCATTGTAGCGGTAGTGAATCACCCGGTGCTGTATGATCAGTCTCTGTTCATCTACCGGGATACAAACCGGAGGAGCGAGGCATGGAGGGAGGTGGCAGAGACAGTGGGTGAAACTGGTAGGTTTTCGCCTGTTTGGGGATTTTATATCCAGTTTACTTCGTTTTAACATTGCTATTGCTTTGTATGTCGGGGGCGGGAGATTCATGTGATTGGTTGTTGGTCGTGTTGCTCGCAAAAAATCCCCAAGCTTCAGATACGCCCACCTCCAAGCGTCAACGCACGCTGCTGTGTGGACGCTCTGTCAAGGCTGCGGGCGTCTTTGTCCCGCGAAATTTCAAAGTCTCATGGAGGCGAGCCTCCAGAGCAAGTCGGACAAAATGACTAACCATCATGCAACGCACTAGCAAGACGTTGATCGCAACTGCGCAGGTCTGCGCAGGTCTTGCTTGTCTCAAACAAGCCTGATGTGTGTGTGCATATGTAGCCGGCGCTACTGTTTCTGGATTAGCTGTCAGATCATTTCTTCACGTGGCTGGGCCGCCACTGCCCCTTTAAGACACACCCCCCCTTCTTTAGTCAGCTGGCCCTTCCATATAAGGAAAACGCGCAGCTGTAGTAGTTCAGCATCTCCCGCCACACTTTAAATGCCCACTCACTCCTCACCCAAATCAGCTGTGACTATTACGAGTGTTCTTGTTCCAGTTATCATTGTCTGGCTGATAGGCGTGTATTCCCCCTATACGAGCGAGGTATGTGAAGCTGCTGTTAGGACTTGTAACATTCAGTGTAGGCCTACCACTAAATTGTTAAAATGTGGCCTGTAAACGCCAGGCTTCTTGACAGCCCCAGCAGAGGGTGTGTAGAGAATCACCGTTGCAGAGGTGTCCAGTGAGGTGATAATTGAGTGAATGCGTTTGCATCAGAGGTAGGAGATTAATTGTATGTATATATGTACATGTGGTTTGCTGGGCACTTTGCATGCAGATATGGGTGATTTGCAGTGAGTGTTGATCGAATACAGCTACACGTGGTGATATTGTGGTTTTGGGGAAACCCTCAGCAGTTGGCCAGAAGAATCACTTTTTAACTATTTAACTATCACTATATGTGTGATATTGTAATTATTCTCTCCTTGTCAGAGCCAGCCTTCAATCGTGGGACTTAGGTGTGTCGACTGGGAAAGCTGAATAAGTTGTAATCTGCATTTTATATTACTGAACTTTTACTTGATTATTTATATAATAAACGTTTGTAAACATTTTAACTTGAGGCCGCGTCCCTGTCCATCCATTTATTCTTATCTGCGTGACTTGTCCTAAGGGCTCGTATTGGGGAACCCAGGTTAGCGTTAAGTATCCTAACCCCCTTTTATTATTGCAGTCCCCCCCTCCCCGGTGGGGCAGGTCACACATAGTTGAACCTTTTCATATTTAAGTTTGTAGCAAGTAGAGGGCTGCTTGTGTGTGTGTCATGGGCGTCACAGCCATTATATGAGGGTGGGACAAGTCCCTCCCACCTTTTAAAATGATTAGTTTAGACCCCCCCCCCCTTTACCATGTGGAAAGTCTGTGAATCGGTCTATCCACTCGCCGCTCTTGTAGCGTTGTGTCAGTGCTTCGTTATCAAATCCATTCCACTTGCTTATTCTGAGAATGCCATAATCAATGAAATTCCGTACCATGTTTTCACTGCTACTTTGTACCAAGGCTGATTTTCTTAGCTGTACACATGCTGCATTTTTTGCGTAGCTGTGTCTTTAGTTGTAAGCCAAGTGGCGATCTGTTCATCTGTCATATCATACAATAAAGCAGTGGCGGCCGGCCCATAGTGGCGCTAGGTGCGCCGCCCCACCTCTTCCCACATTAAAAATAAAAATAAAAATTTACATTTTTTTAATGAACAAGGTAAATATTATATAGTTGGTATCAGTAAAATGTATAATCTACAATAAAATCTCGTTTAAAATTGTTTTACGATGTCTAAAGTTACTGATCAGTCACATGTTTCCTGCCTGGCCGCAGCGTGTAGCATTACCCTCTCTCGTCTGGGCGCTAAGAGAGGAGCCCTCAACCAGTGCAGCAGCAGCTGACTGTTGCTATCTGTAAACTATGCCTCCGAAACATAATTTCATTCAATCAGCGTCGTCAAATCTGATGATCACCGGGCGCCAATGTCAGCGCCCGGTGCAGGGTTATGGCTAGCAAGTCTTGTGTAAAACTCTCGCGAGAGTTTGCGAGTCCCGTGGCTGAATGTTTACGTTAGACAGGCAGCCTTTCAGTTACGATCGTTAACATCAGTGGGCCACAGCAAATGATGGTGAGAAGCTAAACTATCTATTAATGATGTCAATTACAGGGAGTGTGATTGTAACTGTGTGACTAGCTGGATGCAAACAGGTAAATGCTGTCTTTTGTTTCCCATGCTTGCTCTTCAAACAGCCGGGGACAGATACTATGTGCCTGTGATAAATAAACACACACACACATATTATTGTATTGTTGAGTTTTGACAGCATCCATCAAACTAGATTTTTTGCCTTAATGGTCTGTTTTCTAATATGTCTGTGTTTCTGAACCACGTCTGTGTCTGCATATAATGCTCGTATTTAGTCTCCTGATTTTAAATGGGAATTCAATCATTTGAGTGTTCCCAAAGAACCGGTGTTCTGCAGTTTGTGTGGGCCTACTGTACTGTTGCACAGTTTACTGTAGAACTATGTCCAGGACAAGGTATTTGGAAGTTTTGGAAGATTCATAGCTAACCACACTGAAGATTATGGAGGTATTGATCAGTCTTCTCATATCTCTAACATCACCAGAAGTCATTTTGTGTGAGCGAGCGAGAGTGAGCGACAGAGCGCTAACGTACATAAGGAGTTGTTTCTACAACAAGGAGGAGGAGAGCTCTCTCCTGTCAGACAAATCGTATAACGTCAGCTCAGGGAGGTAAAGGACTCTGAGTGTTTAGATCGTTGACTTTAGTCCAAGTTATCTCATGTAAACAAGTATTTCCAAGGCACACCTTTTATATGATCATTATAAAAAACAAGAGAATAACAGGTTTGAAATAATTCCAACTCATACTATAGGACAGTAAAGCAAAAATACAGTTTAAAAGGGGAGTGATTAGTCAAATATGCATAAAGAAAAAGTAAGTCTGTTCTAAACAGTACTGTTTCACATGGGTGTTGTTGAGAGATGTATCCATAGATGTAGTCCCTAACTTTGCTCTTAAAGTGCACCAGATAGATCCATTTAACTTTAACATTTAAAAACAAATCTTCCTGGGGGAGCAAGCCCCCGGACCCCCAAGAGGAGGTGAGATCCACCACCTGCCCACACCCCCCGTGAAATTGTCCTACCCACATTGAGGATGCTTCCTACGCCCATGGCTTGTGTGTGTGTGTGTGTGTGCGTTAGTTTTAAAGACCCCATAGAGCTCAGTTTATAACTCGAACCCTGCTCAAGAAGAAGGCATTTGCGCAAAGAAGGCTGTGACCGAGGTCAAGAGCTGAAAAAGCACACACTTGTCCTTAATTGTTATCTTTTTACTTTGCCACCACAGCAATGGCAATAGCAAACATCAGCAGACTGAAGATGAGCTATTAGCCCTTAGGCTCATCTGTATATACATATATAGACATAAAACCATACAGACATATATAAAATACCCCATAGATTATCTATAGTATAGAGAATATATGGGGTATTGTCAAAGGAAGATGAGAGCCACGGGACCCAACAATGCAGACGAGCTGAAGGCCGCTATCAAAGCAACCTGTGCTTCCATAACACCTCAGCAGTGCCACAGGCTGATCACCTCCATGCCACGCCGCATTGATGCAGTAATTCCTGCAAAAGGAGGCCCAACCAAGTACTGAGTGCAAACACATGAACATACTTTTCAGAAGGCCAACATTTCTGCATTAAAAATCTTTTTTTTAAATTAGTTTTATGTAATATTCTAATTTTCTGAGATACTGATTTTTGGGTTTTCATTAGCTGTAAGCCGTAATCATCAGGATTAAAAACAAATAAAGCTTTTCAATATTTCTCTTTGTGTGTAATGAATCCATATAATATGAGTTTCACTTTTAGAATTGAACTAATGAAATAAATGAACTTTTCCACGATATTCTAATTTATTGAGATGCACCTGTATTGCAGTTATTAACGGCTTGCACACACATGACATAAAATAAATAAGTAAAACAAACTAATTTAAATACAGTTTCATATATTACAGAGATTCACATATTTGCTAATTACACAATTAGTTTTGATTAGCTTCAATATTGTTTGAATTCTTCGGTTTGAAGTCAGCCCATCTGTTACCATGAATCTGAAAGTTCCCCAAAAATAAGATCTAACTGTACAACAACAAATTACTTCTATCACCTTTGGTTTGGAGGATGTAAAGATGTCTCTCTCTGGGATTGTAACGGGTGCAGCGGGAGGCTCGGAGACTTTGTTGTCATCTGTGTCCGCAGCGCGCACAAGAAGCGCACGTGAAGTGGACGCGTGGCATCAGCGCGAGGGCAGCGGTGATGCGCGAGCCGCCTATATAAGAGCTCCATAATGCCGCTGATCGGTCCTTCATGCACTTGCTGACTGACACCGCCTCTTGAAACACCGTCACTCCGCCTTCACACACAGACACGCTTCCCAACAGCTCAACGCAGGACTTCTCTCACTCGTGCTCCAATGTGTGCAACTCTAAAACGTTGTCGAAGAAGAGTCCCAGGGCGCGCGTGATGCTCCACAGCAGCGAGTTTAACGCAGACTACTGCGACTCCACATGAAGTTGTGAGGAAAAAGAACACAAACAGGACTCCCCGTCCCCCCCCCCCCCGTCCCCCTCTCTCTGTTAAAGGGTCACCAAGCAAGAAGCCTCCACCTTGGGCATGGACAATGGATACTCTGAGTCTGTCAGTGAACGCGGTGTCCTACACGGTGGCGGCTGAGCTCTCCACGGTGGATGACCCCTTTAACGCGCCCGTCCGGGGCATCGCGCCCTGGAACTTCACCGTCCTGGCCGTGCTCATGTTCGTGGTCACCTCGCTCTCTCTGAGCGAGAACTTCATTGTCATGTTTGTAACGTTCAAGTACAAACAGCTGAGAAAGCCCCTCAACTATATCATAGTCAACCTCGCCATCGCGGACTTTCTGGTGTCGCTCATCGGTGGAGTAATAAGTTTCCTGACAAACGCCAAGGGTTATTTCTTCCTTGGGAAGTGGGCTTGTGTCTTGGAAGGGTTTGCTGTTACATATTTTGGTAAGTTTGGGATTTTTTTAATGGTAGATCTGCCTTGTAAAACTCTCGTAACTGTTTGAATAATTGATTAGCTGTTTTTAAATGTATTTAAATATGTGTAAAACAGCTCCATGGCACATCCATCTGTGTGACTTCAACAACTGCTCACAAATTAGGGCATCCGACAGGGAGGTAAAGTGAAAGTGACAGATCATTTCCATTACAGCTGTTATAAAAAGAAAAGAAAAAAGTTGACTGAGTGAGGATCAGTCCAGAATGTCAGTAACTTTGCTCAAATTCATGAAATGAGTACGCCTTGACTTAATAATATTATACTTAGTGGAGCAGAACAAACATAAATATGGATTTATTTATTTTACAATATATTCTAACTAGTATACTGCTTCTTTACATCTCCACCTCCATAATGCCGCTTTGCAAGTGTTATCTGCATTATGGAGGATTATAGCAGCACAAGTGGAAGGATTGTGGACATTCATGTGTACAAATCTTGGTATAAGCTGTAAAACAAGTTCAGGCATCAATCAAAAGAAGTCACAGTTGTGATATTATGAGCTCATGGTGTAGACTTTTTAAAACCTTCATGATATTTTGTAAGCATGCATACAACAGACTTTTAGTTAAAAGGGCGCAGTGTGAGTCTGTAAGGCAGGATTCAAAGCCATGTTCAGAGCCTTCTAACATGACTTGTCATAAAGGTTACGAGCATGTGACCATTAATGTTAGACAGTGGATTTGTGTTTCTCCACTGAAGCTCAGTTCGAAAGGTTACAGGTTCTCAAAGTGGGATCTTGCGTCTGGTAAGTGGCCCGCAGTACATTAAATCAAGAGAAAAGAGAATACTTGGTTCATTTGACAAAGGCGCCCTTATTTAATAAGGTTTGTGAAATCCTATTTTAGGACGTCTGGCAGAATAGGAAGACACAGGATGTGTTTATTACCGACTGTCAAACTGCCACATTTGTAATCATCAGAAAAATCTGAATGTATGATGAATATTCAGATATTATGATTGTGGTCCTTTGAAAATATGATAAAATCCCTTTATCCCCCCCCCTATAAAATGTAATGAGTGACAATATAACAAATTGATTTTTGCCAGTTCTTTATTAGAGTGGGTTTTGTTATTTGAATTCATATCGCCGGGGAAAGACTTTGCCCATTGCCACTAACAAACTCAAAATCGTCAAGACAATAATAATAATAATAATAATAATATGTCATTGTCTTGACCATTTGAATGTGTACATGTCCAAGGTCTTACAATCAATATATAGGTAATTGTATAACTATATGTATATATTTAGCAGTTTCAAAAAAGATATAACATTCAGTAATAGCTTTAGCTACAAACGTAGTTGAAAGACAATATTTAGATTTGTTGTGCAAAATAGAGTTATTGGGTGTATGCAGTTGAACAATAAAGCTGAATAAATGAAGAAAATACTGCACACTCTTTATAGATGGATATTCAGCTTAGTATGTGATTTTTACAATCAATGTATACAACATAATTGTGTATCGGGATATCTCGATATATGATCTAATCACAATATGATCTCATTCTTGGATCCTGGTGTTTTGGGTGTAGCGATGCACTTCATTACAGATAAAAAAAGCTTTATTAAGTGATTACAAAATGAATAATACAGGGAAAGGGGGCTCTGCCTATCAACATTAAACCTATTCTGTCTGTAGGATGAGATGCTGCCACTAAAAGAACCATCTGACGTGATAAATGATCATTGAGGAAGTCAATCAATAGTCCACTGAAGTGAAGCGTTACATCTTCAAGGGGCTTCGGGTGGAAAGCCACTTCAATTTCATTCTTGACAGCAGTTTCAGTGATTGACAGCTGGGTTGCATTGTTATCACCTGTGTGTAGAAGTGTGTGTTAGGAGGATACATGTATATGTGAAGAAATTAGTAGGATAAATGCCCTTATTAATATTCAAGATGAAAGTATTTGTAATGTATGTTTTGATTCTTCTATCCTTGTACACCCTGTGAATAGAACTTGACACAATGGATGTTTTTCAGGGAAAGTACTCTCTTTGAGGTTCTTTTGACCACAAAGCTACAAAACAACATTCAAGTTGTGGTGTTAATGGTATTATGGTACTTATTACTGTAATTAGGGTCTTCTTTAGTTAGCCCATTAGGAGGCAGCATAATAGCCCCACTAAGGATCCTTAAACTATTAGCAGTACCACCACTCTGCATAGTACAGTGGAGAAGTGAGATACCATTAGGAACATTAGGAAATTATTATTATTTATAGATCATTTAAAAAATCCATGTGATAAAAGTGCTTTATAAAAGCAGCAAAAATAAAATACACTTAAATGTTCAGATTTATAAGAAAACAGATACAAAACTATTTGGTGTGGAAAAAACTAAAAAGTGTTGAAAAAAAGGTAGGCTACAGAAAATAAAAACATGTTTTAAATAAAATAAAAGGAGTAACAGATGACATCCCAACCCAGAAGGCAGATCATAGCAAATTGAAACTCAAGTATCGTGAAAACTGATACACACGCTCTAATATTGTGATGCTTATAACTGTAGCAAACCGATCAGATGGTTTGTGATTGTGGCTGCTGAGCACTGACCTCTCCTGCTACTTCAGGGATCGTGGCCCTGTGGTCCCTCACCGTTCTGTCCTTCGAACGGTTCTTCGTGATCTGCCGGCCTCTGGGGAACATCCGTCTGCAAGGGAAGCACGCCATGCTGGGGCTGCTGTTCGTCTGGACCTTCTCCTTCCTCTGCACCTTCCCTCCTGTGCTGGGCTGGAACAGATACACTATCAGCAAGATCGGAACCACGTGTGAGCCTGACTGGTGAGCAATTAGCATTTGATCATCTCCAGGCACGTGCACGTGCACATATTGACATCAAAGTGGGCTTGAGCCCCTGCACTTTTTCTTCCTCCAGAGAAAGTGCCCTTTTTTTAAATAAATGAATATATATATATATCTACTGCTGTTTGTGGACAGTTTCCCTTTCCAAAAAGATATTGATTGAATAAAAATAAATATATATCAGGTCAGGAGATTAGACTGTGAAGTTCCGATGCTCTCTCTCTCTACCCTCCCTCCACGTCTCGCGCACATTGGTGTGGACATCGGCAGTCACTTCTGACAGACATGTAGCAGTCCCACTTTACTGTCCCATGTCATGCCGGCTTTTTCTGGCTTGTCTGAAGGTGAGTGGTGATGAATAAATTACTAAACTGCCAGTGCCTCGAGTTTATAGCTAATTAGCCAAAAGACAAAAACAAATTAAGTTAGGTAGGCTACTAGCTAATGGATAAGTTAGCTCAAGGTTTAGCTAAGGCAATTTATCATGGCTAATGTAGCCTATGCTGTACTTAAGGGGAGACATACACTAAAGGTGAATACAGTAAAATGTGTATCTAATAACATCATCACAATCGCCACATTCATATGCAAATTAGGCTTTAACTAGTACACTAGTAATAAAGTACTATCTTATCTCATATCATAATTAAAATGCGCTAATTTGCATGCAGTGACCAAGGCATTGCAGGTGAACAGGATCAAACTAAAAACATATCAGTGATATGCACCTCAAAACTTCCCCAGATAGTTACTTACGTCAAGTCAGCATTTCCCCCTGAAATGTTATGTTTAAATATGCAGATCTTTAAATCTATAGATGAATTCAGACATGGTAGTAAAACAAACAGCATTTATGTGTTTTTTGGAAGTTTTCTTCAAGTTCGTGAAAAAACGATCTTTTTGCCTGTAATGTCCTTAAACAGTAACTTCATAATTTGTATTGTTGGCTGCTCATTTAATAACTATTAATTGTACTAGTTTGTTGTCTGCTCTTGTGCGTAGTGAATACTAAAGAAGACCATTGTCTCTGTGTTAACTGACTATTTTGTAGAATTCTGTTGAGTATTAAACAATTGCGTGAGTGTGAGGGTATTAAAATAAATTGGTCAGTAAGTCAGAGATGTGCAACTATATTTCACTTTTTGTTTTAAAGCATTTTTTTTCTAAGTGATTATGGGAAGTGCCCTTTTTCTCACTTGAGCTCCCGCCTCCCAAAAGGTCTGTGCACGTCCCTGATCATCTCTGTAAACAGCTGTAGTAAAGTGTCAATTCTCCTAAATCTCCCCTAACCCACATCATAGACGCTTTATCTTGCAATGTCATAGTTACTGGGCCCAATGAAAACTGAATACTGATATTCTTTCTGCAATAACATGTTCTTGTATGACTTTTCAAACATTATTTTAACACACCAGACATGTATTCAGAAATCAGGTTTTACATTAGAATTAAACTTTAAACCTTCGACCACTAGGGGGCAGCACAAGGAACTCTAAGGTTCAGATTTCAACTGAAACGTAAGTGCAAAGAATTTAGAATTAAATAACAGTCACAGGATTGGCAGGCAGTAAAGCAGAGACGTAGGTATAAGCACATGTTAGCAGAAAACTAAGGGAGCAGTTTGTTTAAACAAAAGCCACAAAGAGGAACAAACCGGGAGGGCACAGGGATCATGGGCAGCACATCCAAAGCGAACATGAGGAATAATCCAAATACAGAGACAGGAAGAATGGACAACAAAACAGAGATGCCACAGGAGGAGAACCATTTTCTAAATACCACACAGAACCGATCATGACAAGAACCCCTTTAGTCTACATAATAATTGCCTTAGAAGTTACTATATGCAGAAGTGGGATACACTATGCCACCTAGCTTGTATCCATAGATCAATACAACTGATTATCAATTATACATTTACATAATCACTACCTCTAATATAGATTTTAGATGACAAAAAAAGGGCAAAGCTCAGACATGAACTAAAAGTGGACACTGCTGCAGGTGCAACATCGCGCTAAAGGATGACTGCTATGATGGGTGATGATCCTCATTCCTTTTGGTTAGTGTGGTTCTCCTGCATCTCTAATCGTGTGGCAGTCCCTGCAGGCAAACAGTCCTGCAGGCTGCTGGAGCTTCATACCCGCACACGTTAACTGTTTTTCTATTGATTTTAGCCTTTAAATCAGCTGGGAGTAGGTTGACAGGAGAAGCCGCTGTAATGTCAAAAGTGGGGGCAGGGGATGGCTTTGCAGCTTCTGTGAATGTTTGTGCAAAATAGAGACCAGGGTATCCCCTGCAGGGAATGTGGACAGATCTGAAGTATGATTGGTTTTAATAACCACCAACTACAATATAGATTGAGTCTGTTTGAAACAGTTCATCACCATTATAATAAAGACAAGATGCCGTCCTGTTAAATGCATAAATTACTTGATCTGAGTTGTTGTGGCTGCATTGATGAGGTCACAGCAATCTCAGAATTCCTGTTGCTGGCAATGCTGGGTGAATCTCAGACTTATTTAGTCCATTTTATTTTACTACACCTGGATTTTGGCCAGTAGTCATTGTAGTGGGCTGGTCTTAGCTACGTTAGCTTAGCTTTGAGCTAGCTTGTTTCCACCTCATCTTGCAGTGGTTGCACTCATAGATCTACACTCTGTTTTCCACCGCTGTCTCTCTGCAGTTACTGAGCGACTCTGTATTTTAGAGGTGGACCATCCAATGAGCACACTGCTAATCGCAGATAGATTTATCCCAGCTTGAACGGTAGATGTTTTGGGGTTGATCACTTCATATCTAAGTGGAGTTGAGCCTGTAACATTACAATAAGAACGTAAAAGAGGCTGAAACGACCATAAAACAGGGGGGAACTACAGTGTTGGATGACCATTCTCTGTGGGTTCCCCAATACAAGTGACACCTTTACGATACACAACATTTGACCCATTCTTAGTAGAAAAATATGAACAAACAAACTCCTAATCCGCTCCACGAGCTTCATCTTGAGACTCTTTTAACCAAACCAGATTTGAACCTTTTGCTAAGGTTCCACATACATACACACCTGGCACACAAGGAGATACAGATTGTCTTTCCACCTGCCCTGTGGCTCATATCTATCATACTGCGACAGATGTATTATCTGAAACTGTGTGAAAGAGTCTTATGGGAAAAGTCAAGACACAGGTTGGATTTGAGCTCAGGGTGCTATCTGAATAATTATATTTAGGTGCATTGATCAAAGATGTGAATATAGAGGGCTCAGAGTCTCCTCAAGTCCAGTGAGGAAACCATTTCTCAGATGAAGCAATTAACAGATCACATAAGGAAACCCCCATCACATAGATGACCTGCTCCACCCTGACTGCATGCTGCATGTGTCAGAAAACATCTTGTAAACAGCAGGAGCGAGACACCGCAGGTGTTCGAGGTACTAATTGCGGCCACATGCACAGCCTGATGTATTCCAAAAGCCTCGTTTATGCTCGTCTTTTTATCTCAGGATACAATGATTGATCATGAAAGTGTTCTCAAAGCTGGTGAAGGTGCAGCTAGTTTGAAGTACTTTGTATACTGCAGGGTAGCTTGTGGATTTACTCCAGGTGGAACTAAAGTCTGATTTAACACTTGATTATATTTCACATCATTCATCCAGATCTGTAAAGTAACTAAAGGTATTAAATACATGTAGTGGAGGAAAAGTACACCATTTACCTCTGAATTAAAGTGGGGTAGAAGTACAAAGTAGCAAAACATTTAAATACTCAAGTAAAGTACAACTCTCTCAAATTGTACCTAAGTACAGTACTTGATTACATTTTCTTTACTTTACAACACTTCCCCAATTATTGGCAGGTTTCCTGAATATTCAGGATTATTTTGCGCAGTTATACCTGACAAATCGTTTTTTAACCACAGCATAGCCCTGGCCACGTGCCTGAATTATTTTGTTTGTTATTTGGACAGTCTCGCAAATCTCCATGCATCATGAAGTACTATTTTGCACATGATAATAAATTCATGAGGTCTGAGGTGTGAATCCATCCATCACAAACATGTGCAGGCCACACTTCCCTGGTTCTACGATGACTAAGATGCAGGCACACAAAACACACACACACACACACACACACGCACATTTCCAGGTAGTTCCTTACACTTTCATCTAGAGCTTGTTTCCTTAGGTAATCTCATGTAAATTACATAATTAGACTAAATTGCTGGGCACCCTGATTGTGTCCCAGATATTTGTTTCATCTTTGAAATGTCCCTTTCAATTGAAGATCAAATTAGGTGCAAACTGTAATCTTTTTTTCCAGACAGATAAAAGCCTCTGAATGTCAAACTATTTTCACAGACAGCTCATAGCTGGGATTTGGTTCTTAAAAGAGACACACAGTGTTGTCAAACAAAAGGTTTGGTTGTTTGCTGTCTGTCTGCACCCTTCTATTGATCCATCCATATCTATTTTTATTTATAGGTCACTAAGTGAGGCTATAGCTGCAACCAACAATTATTCCATCAACGATTTCCTAGATTATTTCATTGGCTATTGACTAATCTATAAATTGAATAATCGTTGCTCTATTCACTACATGTAACTATTTGTTGACTGATATCCGAAGCACAATCTGAATGTTAACATCTTTGTTCTCCGTCTCTGCACAGGTATTCCACCAACATGATAGATCACAGCTACATCATCACTTTCTTCGCCACCTGCTTCATTCTTCCTCTTGGAGTTATATTCTTCTGCTATGGAAAGCTCCTGCAGAAGCTCAAGAAGGTACGTATGAGTTCTAACACGACACAAATGGAAATCATTAGTTTATAAATGCTGCTCAGACTTTCATTCATGTTGAGGTCTTTTGTGAAATGCATTCAAATTGTCAAATTATAAACCAACTTAATTATGCTAATATTACCAAATATGTGCCATAGGGTATATTCAGGTAAATTGCTTTAGTTTGAAAATGTGAGTGCCTGAAGAATTGAAGTCAGCAGCAGAGACCAGAGGGGAGCGTGGAAGAAATCAGCCCCCAGTAGTGTGCTTATTCCCAGAACAAATGACCATATCTTCCATTCTAAAAGGGTTACATTAATAATCCTTTTTCTCAAAGCAAGGTTACACCTGTGAGTTGGATGTAGAAGTGTCAGAATCAATATAGATGTTTTTATTTTTTAAATAAATTCAGATTGAACACAGTAAAAAAATGTAAATGATTGTGTCCGTCCAAAAAAAAGAAGTTACTTATAGTGAAAACCACCCTTGAATGATGGGATGGTAGACTAAAAGCTTTAGGAATCCAAACTATAACATATAATAAGTACCCTGTATCAAGATTGATGCAAAACAAGTGACATTTGACCTTTTTAGAGAGATTTAGCACCAAAAAAAACACTTCTGGGGTCATCTGGGTGGATTTGACCTATCTCTGGCCCCCCTTGCTCGATTTTGCTGATTGACATCTCTTTCTAACCGTCAGAGCTGAATCGAGGGGAACTCCCACATACTCCTTATTTGGTAATGTTTGTGTGTGAGACTGACGCATAGCCAAAACCGGAAGCTGTGATAACTCTGGTGGCTACCATTAGCAGCTAACTTTTACTCTCTGATTTTTAAATAAAAATGGAATTATGGATTATAAATTAAAAAAATTATTCCACAGAAACATTATCAACCTATGGATTAACCGATTCAGCCGCGTTGAAACGCTGATTTACACTTTTCCAATGTAAGTCGATGGGGAGATGTATTATAGGCTACTTTATTATTATATTATACGTTACTCCCTACACTGGAAAAGAGAGCCCATTCTTCTCTGATTGGTTAACTGGCCGGATCTGTTGTGATTGAGAGACTCCGTCTGGATTTCTGCTTTGCAGACCATTGACATGCACAAAAACGTATATAACACACTACAGGGAACACCCCCCAAAAGCTAAACAGGGCCCCTTTAACCCTAGAAACATCAGTTAATGTTGGCCAGTCCTGTTTACCCCCATGGTCAATGTGAATACACTGGCTTTGAAATAAAGCTGCAGATGATATTTGTTACTCGATAAAGAGACACATTTGAGATGTTTGTTTTCAACTCCAACCCTTAAACTAGAATGACTTACATTGTCATTGTTCATGCATAAAGGGGCAACACTTAAGAACTTTTAAGTTTGACATCACAACTATTTCATAAAAGGTTGCACTAAAAATGAGCAAATTCCCATTTCATTGGCAGCTGCACATGTGTTGTTACTTTCTGTAAATGCACTCACAGTACATTAAGAAGCTGTAAAGGTTAATAAAGCCTGACTTCAGTCACAATCAAGCTGCGCAGAATTTTTTTTAAAAGCCAAATTCATAGTTCCCTGTGGAACACTATTTATACAGACCTCCGACAGGCGATTACTGTTGGTATGGTCCTGTTGAAATGGTAATAAAATAGCTGAAGCATTCGTTCTTTTTGCAGCGCAGAACCCAGGGGTTCTGTATATTGCGTCATCAGGAGCCTGCAGCGTGATGACATCATTTTGATACCTTGCGAAATTCCATGACAGCACGTAGTTGCGCCAGAGATTGCTCCCACAACAAAATAGTGGATTCCATATCATTGAATATGAATAGATGGTGACCTGTCTTTAAAACCGAAACTTGTTGAAAGTGTAAGAAATAGTAGCCTCAGAGTTGTTTCAAAGGCCAAATATAATAATATTACATTTGAGTTGGATAATTCAGTTATTGGCATAATAAAATAAAACAATTTGGTACAAGTATCAGCTTTTAAATCAGTACTTTTCTCCCCTCTAGACTGTCTTAATTACAGTGACATATAGCTTCTCGTGGTTCTGTTCCCCCAGGTGTCTCATGGTCGTCTGGCCACTGCCAGGAAGCCTGAGAGGCAGGTGACCCGCATGGTGGTGATGATGATCGTGGCCTTCATGGTGGGCTGGACGCCGTACGCAGCCTTCTCCATCCTGGTCACAGCGTGTCCAACCATCCATATTGACCCCAGGATGGCTGCCATCCCTGCCTTCTTTTCCAAGACAGCTGCTGTCTACAACCCAGTCATCTATGTCTTCATGAACAAACAGGTAACTGAGAGTTGAAATGTCAGAAACAAATACTACCTAACTCTGACATTTCGATCATGTTTGCTTAGTTTATTTGAGTATTTTTCGCAGTGTCCATAAGCAATGTAAAGGGAAAGTCCATTCCTCTTTCCCTAGTGGAGTGTGTAGTAGATGAAAGCTGCTGCAGAATACTGAGACGTTTTGTTTCTGTTGTTGTTGGGTGTTAGCTTGTCTCTCAATAATGCATGGTGTATTAATAAATGAAACATGAAATCCAGAGAGTACAATTGTCCATGCGTGGCTCTGTTAAAAAATACGTTAGCCATCTATGGCAGTTCTTCATGGCATTTACATGGTGCTGTCTAGCTCCTTCCTAGTGTAAGTGAGACACACTGGGTTTTATGAAGCATGGAAAATAGAACCACCTTCCCACAAGATTGACATGGGTATATCTTGAAAGGCTTTTAATTGGAAAATACTTCTTAAAAGTCAAGGTAATCTATTTTAGACTCTAAATGAATTCTTACGAAGAAAATAATTTGTTTTATTGGGAACAAAACAATATATCCTTATATATGTTAAACGTCCTTACTGCCATAAAACATGTTTGCTGCAAACCCCATTATTCAAAAGATATATTTTTTCTGTTGGCAAAAATATATGTCTGTTACATGCCTAGAAAGGCACCAGGATGTGTGTTTTACAAGACTTCAGGACTCAGAACAGAATGCATGCAAGTGCCCTGTCTCAGGAGTCTATGGCTGTTATGTGAATGCTGTATTTATCAGGATCAACAGAGTGGGACAGTTGTATCCTCCTCTTCACCTTAAATGGACTGAACTGTCTCAAAACACTGATGCCCCGAAGGGCTGACTGCTTGTGGAAAGCTGGACTCACCAACTTTACTTCTTTTAGTATCTCCGGTAAACATGAGCATGCGGTGTCCAATTAACTCTTGTCACATTGGTTTTCTTTACCTTACACTGCATGTTGGCCTCTCCTTTTTTTTAAATATATATCATCATGTGAAGCTACATTTTAACTTCATGTGAAGCTGAAGTTCTTTAGTACGACCTTTTCATGTAAACATGTACCCTGCCATGTTCTCACAGGGCTCCATTGTCTTTGCAAGTGTTTATTCTACATGACAGGTCTTATGTTTTTAATAGCTTATTTTAGTCCAGCCAGCGCAACATTAAAACTAGGGGTGCACCGAATGGGAAATTCTTGGCCGAAACCGAAAATAGGAAACAGTTGGCCGAAAACCGAATGCCGAAAGGCCGAAAATGATTAATAGAAATATATATATATATATATATATATAATGTATACATGTTTTACCAATGTTGTTCAGCTACCTGATTATGGAAATAGACATGATTATGGCAAAACTTAACTTAAATAATAATCACTATTATGGGTCCATAAAACATTTATTCAGCACTTTTGAATGCATACAGTACATTTATATATGTCATGTATTATTGCTAAAAAACATTATATCGCAGTCTTAGTGTCGCCAACTCGTTTCTAATATGCAAAGACAACAAATGCGTCTATGATGTATTTTCGATCAGACGAGATCTCTCTCCCCCGTCTGTGTGCGAGGGGGCGGGGCAGTTTACACACACGCAGCTGCTACATGCAGCGGAGCACACTGCGGAGATGGCGGAGAGAACGCGCTCCGAGGTGTGGTTAAACTTTACCCGTCTCGATGTGGAGAATACTTGTTACCATAAGTGCAATAAGAGTTTAGCATGTAAGCACGAGCAATTTGTCTAAACATTTAGCAAAAGTGCACCGCATGCAGACGGAGGAATGTACCGGGTTCGACCGTCTTTCTAGCAGCTCTGTAGCTCCATCCACGAGTAACGTTTCCACGTCAGGTGTTATGTATGCTAGCAGCAACACACGGAGTTAACTCCATGATACAAACATGGGTTAATGATTAGAGGAAACTGAGTTATTTATTTTGTTAACATTTCAGCTATTCTGTTTACAGTCTGTCATCAGATTATTTAATACGTTAGGTTACCAACGTAAGCCTGTTCTGACATTCGGTGATATTTTTTCGGTGCTAAAACCCTTTCGGCCGAAAGCCGAAAGGGCATTTTTAACCATTTTCGGCCGATAATTTTCGGTGGCCGAATATTCGGTGCATCCCTAATTAAAACTGTCCATTCCATCACCATTTATGCCTAGCATGCAATTTAAAGTGTTCTATTTTCAGATAGGGATATGGAAGTCCTACTATATGTGCCTGGCACGATGTCTAGAACAGACATTCCTTTCAGGGAGATGAATGCATTCCACATGTCCATCAGATTGCCCTACTTTTGGGCTGCACTCACTGTTGACAAACATCATATAGTGTCTCCAATAAGACATTGACTGGATGTTAATAAGGACGCCTATGCAGCTTCAGCCAAACTGTTGCTCTTCTACACTTATTGTGCCTATTGAAGCCAGCCAACTTCCAGTGCTTGATTGCAACATCGCTCTCCGTTCCGAGTTATATAACAGTGTGAGGCCAACCAGATTCTCAAGGGATTCCCATAATGCATGTCGGGTGCTACTTAAGCAGCATTTTATACTTAGGGAGGCAGCCTCTTGGAATCTCTAGGAGGTCAAAAGGTCACATATGACACATAACGCACATTACATAACACTAAGGTTGGATAGATAGGAAACAGTGCTTTGATGTGGAAGGGGAAATTTGAATGGTCAAATGTGAGAAAGTGTACTTTATTATCCTCTCGCTGCCCTAGGTTGAGTTTGTGAAACTCCTAGCATTACATAGCAACCATGATCATCATTGGAATTTTCACGCTCACATATTTTTCAGATTATATAGGTAATCAAGCAAATAAGCTAGCATGTAACAAATGGCTGACATATTGCTGGAATGCAGGCCAACAAAAAGAAAAAAGAGCACTGTTATTATGTAGCTGTGCAATAATTAAAGCTGCTTGGAAGTGAAAGAACTGAAATCGGAAATATTTACAGCCCCATTAATATCCCAAACCTGCAATGCAGAAATGCACCATGACCGTGGCGGTGGAACACCTATGGGATAATGTCCTTACAACATCAATGCCTGTGTACTTTGATATTTTTCACAAAATGAAAAGTTATCACATAAGCACTCTGTACTCTTTGCATAGTTAATCGTACAATATTTAGTTTTCTGCCTCAATCAAAAAAAATGACATGTTACTAAAAATGGTTGCTGATCGCTGTGCTCAAAGTCCAAATTATTTAAATTCTGAAATCGATTGGCACTGACCATCCGTCGCACAACCATTTAGCTAACAGCATAAGGCGGCACAAGCTAGCAAAGGAGGTAACCATAGAAACAAAACTAACTAGATCTGCGCCCACCTCACAGTGAGCAGAGAGCAAATTGCGTATCATGTGAAGGCAGCTTGAAGGCAGAATTGATACCAAATCTTTTTCATTACTTTCACCCAGCAGCAGGTTGCAGCATCAACAGAATGTGCATGATCCCACAGGAATGTAGTGCCTGACAGTAACCCAAGGTTTAATTCAATGTTTCCACTGTGCCACTCTGCTGTACATTTCATATGCTGTGCTAACGACGGCTGGCCTATTTTTCGTAGTAAAAGCTTTTTCCCCAGCATTCTTTTTTAATCTTTTCATGCTTTATTTAGTCAAAGATAAAAAAAAATGAAGGCCGACTTAAGGTTGCATAGGGAAAGGATTTGGACAAAATCGCAGAGTATCATTCTGAATGCTGAGCTTACACTTGCCCATGCCCAGAACAAAAGTGCATTCCCAACACTGGGGGCTACCAAGCTATCATCATTCATCACCCAAAAAAACGGGGGAAAAAACAGCCACAGGCATATAGATTTCTGTTCAAGCAGCGTATTACGGCCCGTATTTATGTTTTTGTTAGTCAGAAACCTCTAGTGGCGGTAGTTGTTATGTCTGAATCAATGGAGAAAGTAGAAAAGTTTGTACGTAAATAGGTCACACTCTATGTGACTACAACGCGTGCTAAAGTAAGAATCAAACGTACTCTTTTTAAAGGCCAAACCCCGATCCTATTCTAACCTATCCAAGTAAAAACAATTCTAAACTTAGAATACAATGGTCACATGTTTAAAACTGCCACCCTGCTAGCCTTTTCCCATTTTAGCTCAGACTGTTATATGTCAATTTGGGAGTCATCGCTAACCACCTATTCTGCTGTTTAGGTATGATGATGTGGTCAGCATAGCAGTGATTAAGTAAATAATGCAGGCGTATGATTGAAACTGGTGTCGCCATTCCTGTGACAATCTAGAATCAGTTGAAACTGTTGCAGAGTGAATTATTGTGTGTTTCCTGTTATTCCTGTTGCCTTTGGGGTGACATATAATTACCATATTCCCTGAATGGTAGTGTATTAAAAGCTATATTTTTCAATGTTGGTGGGATTTATACAATAATAATAATAATAATACATTTTATTTTAGGTGCCTTCCATGACACCCAAGGACACCATACAATTTGTTAAAAAATAAAACGCTAATAGGCAACAGCACATGATAAAAACACAAACAGGAAATCATGGATGAGACAATCAAGTGGACACAAATGACACATATAATGGGGAGCACTACAGTGAGTAGGCAGATTTGAACAGGTGGGTTTTTAATTGGGATTTGAATATGGTGATTGCGTCTGACTGTCGGATGTGCGAGGGGAGGGAGTTCCAGAGTCTGGGAGCAGTGCAGCTAAAAGCCCGAGCACCCATGGTGACGAGGCATGGGGTGGGGACGGCTAGCAGACCAGCAGAAGTCCTTGGTGTAAGAGGTTTAACAGCTCATTTAGGGTCCCAGAGTGAACAAAGCCATACACACTTTTTTCATGAGATCAGAGGTTTTACTGCCACTCTTTGAAAGCATTACTGATTTGAGGGGAGCAGTTAGGAGGCTTGCGTGTTAAATTAGACAGGTCATTAAGGGTCAGGAATCACGAGTTCTCCCTGGGGCATGAGGGTGTGAGGTCCACTCTGAAAAACGATCAATGAGTGTTTTAAATGTAAAGCTAAGTGGAAACCAATGATTCTGTGGCTATTAGTGAGGACTGGGTGAAAAGGGCTATGTGAAGAACAGCTTTTGACAGGCCTTGCCACTTCCATCTCTTATTTTTTCTGTTTGTTAATAATTGATTCCTAGAGTAAGTGTTGGTAGTTGTATTTTCAAGAGAGAGCTAGGCTAGCTTTCCTCCTACCTCAATGCTGGCTAGCTTTTCCCCTGCCTCCAAACTATGCTAAACTATAATCTGAATGTTTTGTCATTAGAGTTTTTCCCGAAATCTTGCATTATTCTTTTACAGACATTTTTCAGGTACGGAAACATAACCCCTAAAACAATGTAAGTGCAAAATTATTATTTTAGCTGACTGCTCCTAATTCTCTTGTTTTCTGTCCAGTTCAGGAAGTGCCTCATGCAGCTCTTCTGTGGCAAAGGGACTATCCCAGACAGCCACCTGAACCCGACCTCAGAGCGACCTGGGATTACTGCAGACAGTCAAACAGGAGAAATGTCGGCCATTGCAACTCGCATCCCCGTGGGGGGCAACAGATCTGATGATTCTCCCACCGACTGTGGCTCATTAGTCCAGCTGCCGATCGCAGAGAACAAAGTGTGTCCAATGTAAAGAAACCCTCATACCTATATGTGTTCTCCTACCCCCAAAATCCATAATAAGCTTCTGTGATCTAGATTCAGTGTGATTCAAAAACTGTCGAGACAAAGACAGAACTGTTTTCAGATGTTGGGGAGATGGAGGATGCAGTATTAACAATAGTCAACTCTTAAAGGGTTTCCACAGTTGATGATTCTTGCACTTTAAAAAAAAAAAGTTCACTTACAATTCGGAACGGATACCAAGCACTAGCATGCTTTTCGATTATTCAGTTTTTGATTTTTAAATGAGGTGGCCAGAAGGAACTCTACAGGCAGAAATGCTCAGAGATTTACCAGCCATATATCTTGTAAATATTTGCTTGCCAGATGCTCCGTCCACTTATTGAAAACTATCTTAGATGTTCTATTGACCTCTTTGCACACCTGCTAGTTTGCCACATTAGAGGGTACTTGATTCAACTTTTATATCCCAATGATAAAAAGAGTCTGCTGAACACGCAAACCTTGACATCTTTAAGTAGAGGGCTAGCCAGCTCTTAGAAACCACAGTGCATCCAGCCTTTCATCTCGTCCTTGCATTCTCCTTTGAAGGCCTGTGATGGGGCCTGCAGAGAAAATGTTGTTTTTCTATACTCTGGCATCTTCACTCATCTCTGCACGACAAGAGGACGGAGCAGCACTCTTCTAAATTTGGATACTTTTACTTCAGTTTAGAGTTTGGTTCAAAGCTTTCATCTCTAGTGAAGACGGTCAGTGGGACTTGGAGATGCAAATCTCCTGTTGCCTCTGAACAATATATTTATGAAGTGCCAGCAGGGGATCAACATATACACACACACACACACACACACACACACACACACACACACACACACACACACACACACACACACACACACACACACACACACACTTCCAGGTAGTTCCTTACACTTTCATCTAGAGCTTGTTTCCTTAGGTAATCTCATGTAAATTACATAATTAGACTAAATTGCTGGGTGCCACGACCCTGATTGTGTCCCAGATATTTGTTTCATCTGTGAAATTTCCCTTTAATTGAAGATCAAATTAGGTGCAAAACTGTAATCTTTTTTTCCGGCCAGATAAAAGCCTCTGAATGTCAAGATGACATTTCACAGACTGGGAAATTATGGGATTTGGTTCTTAAAAGAGACACACACGTGTTATCAAACAAACAGTTTGGTTGTTTGCTGTCTGTCTGCACCCTTCTATTGATCCATCCATATCTATTTTTATTTATAGGTCACTAAGTGAGGCTATAGCTGCAACCAACAATTATTCCATCAACGATTTTCTAGATTATTTATATATGTATATACATCACACACGTGTACATACACAACAATTGCTGTTCACTGCCTGTATTATGCTCTCTATTGGCACTGCGATGATACAATGTACCAATAAATATCCTAGCACAAGAGTGGCTTCGCTAAGCAGCCATGAACAACGGCAATGAGTATTGCCATCATAATCGCAGGTTTAACAGCAATATATTAGCTGAATACTGTCGCAAAGATAAACACTTCACCGTTGTAGTGTGTTAACATGTCTTCTACTTTGTGGTGCATGTTTGTTGACTATTATATTTGTCAAGACACTGGTATTTTCTCTATGCTGTCTTTTTGAAATGTACTCAGTGTGTATCATGTTTTGCCAGTTTGCTTTATGTAAGATTTTGATTTTTTTAAGAACCAATGTATCTGTACCAAATGACTTGACGTAATGCCTTGATACAGTTAGCATACTGACATGAGACCATCATGAGGACGACTGGCTACTCAGCGGCTATGAAAAAAAAACTATTAATAGAACTTTATGGAACTTGACCTGCATTGATCAGTTTTATTTGATTGGCAAAATTCCTCTGTGAAGTGAAAAAGTGGCTGAAAAAGGAAAGTTATCACCCTATACAGTTGTATACTTTTAGCTCCTGATAAACTGATGTACCGTAGGTTCAGTCTCACAGATCTTTTCAACCACATTTATGCAGCTTCTAGCTGTTTTCAGCTAATGAATGAATGCCACTATTCCAGCAGCAAAAGGTGCACAGATAAAGCTGGCTACCATTAGCATTAGCATTAGTAGACACCTCAGTTTTGTAATCTGTAAGTGTAAGATTACACTGTAAACCAGTGTAATCGGTGGTTGCTGTACATCAGCTAGTCTATTGTGGCTTACTTAATTGATGAATGCAGCTTTAAGAAGTTTTATATATATATATAAATGGCGATCCAAATTCCTTGCAAACAAGGAGAAAAATAATGTAGGCTACATTTTGTGTTGCCAGTAGATATTCCCAATGTTCTCACAGATGTTCTCTATTTATGATGATTATAGCAATGACTCAATTGACATTTTACAGGTCTGTCACAATTTGCTATTGCTGTTGCGAAGTAAATTAAAAAGAAAAAACACAAGTCTCATTGTGCTTTATTGCTAAATCCTAGCTCAACTCCTATCTTAACCTACATAGTTTTTTATGGTTGATTTGTTTTTGCATAAACCGAATACACAACTAATTCAATTATAAAATGCTTAATTGTTAACAAAAATAAATACATCACGAACTGAATGAGTGATTATTATAAAGCACAAGTATACACACAGTATCTAATAAGATACATTGTAAACGCTGCTTTCCCTCATATTTAATTAAGTAAGGTGCCATAATCTTCTTTTTTAGGGCTGTTGTTTCTGTTTATGGCACAGGGATAGTGGTAAGTTCTGCAAAGCAAGTTGCATAAATGTATTCAAAAAACATTGCATTAAAAACAAGCAATATGTAAATCACTGATTCTGTCAGTATTGTTATATGATGTGCCAATTGCATCAAACATATATGTAGAAGGAAAATGGAAACTTGCTTTGGCCACTGACAGGGGATGCTGTCCAAAGGTCCTTTGTCTTTTCCTAACAACTATTCCTTCACTATCTGACGTGATTGTTATGGGCCAGCGGATGTGCATTTGTCGCGCAAAACTACAGTTTTCGCATTAAGTAAGTATCGTAACGTTCATAGGGCGACTCTTGGTTTAGCAACTGTTGAAAGTTCATAACAAAGCACTTTGGTAAGTTGTGGCATAAGTTGTATAATGCAGTAGCGGGCCATGCTTTTCACACCTAGACCTGAATTATCCACCTCTTAATACCACAATATTATGACGTCACAGCTATAGAAACCATTTATATTATACAGAAACGCAGCAGAACAGGGCGTTACATCACAGACAGAATGTAGCGAGAATGAATGCCATTACTAGAGCAGGAAAACCAAATAACACAATTCAACAAGTGCCACAATTGCGCCACACACATCCTCTGTAGCAGAAGCATTCATATTTATTTAATAAAATATCCAAAACATCAAAAATTAAACTTAAAGTCATTATAGTATACTACTAACTATGTATATGTTTGATTATTTGTACACAAAATCCATGTATCCATGTATTTCTGGCAAAAACCATTGTGAAGCTCCTTTTCTCACTTGTTCGTTAAACTGTAGATCCACTCGGGTTTCCCAAACATGTTTCAAAAGAACAGTTGATTGTAACTTTACGCTTTGGCGTCTTGTTGCTGTTTTGGTTAGACAACTCAAGTTTGCAAACTTAAATGGCTCCAAACACCAAGTGGATCAGCAATACAGTTGCAGTGCTCCTATCAATATCGCAATCTCATCATAGGACGTGAAAATCAGATGTCATCGTTCGCCTGCTAGATGGCCCCGGGGTCGCCTACTTGAAATCTGATTGGTCATTGCAACCGTTTCACTGGCATTTATTTTAAGCTACAAGTGCATGCACTGTTGATTCTGAAGGCCTCAAGGCAGATTTGTTTGACCTAGCAAAACATTCTGACTAAGACCCAATCCCAAACCACTCCCTCGACCCTACCCCTCCGTGACGGAGTGAACTCCGTCTGCAGCCACACTCGCAGCTCAACGAGGCTCCCTCCTGTCAGATGGAGGGAGTAAGTACAGCAGCAAGCTTTGGGACGGCCTCCCCTCTCTCCGGCAGAAACAGGAAATGCCGTAACTGTATGTAACAACGGTTTCAAATCAGCATCTCTTAGACAAAACATTTAAATGAATAACTCAAATAAAACTCCAAACATCTTTCATTGTGTTTCAAAGCTCTTTTAGTTTTAAACCTGATGTTTATAAGCTTCTTAGTTTTTGCAACGGTCTGTAAATATACACAACTTTATAATAAAATGCACACATTTACCTTTTTCTAGACTAAACACAGGTACGATCCTAAGTTAAAAACATATGAGGTTATCATGAGGTTGTTAACATCGCAGTTTATCAGTGGATGTTTGCTGGAACTACTTGTAAACAGCGTGTTTCCTGACGGACACACACAGCGTGACTCCGGTCAGGTAGAGACCGGTCTCAAGTCAGCATCGCTGCAGACTCGCTGTTTGAGGGCTTGATAGCCCACTCCCCCTCCACACCGCTCCACACTCGTTGCTTTGGAACAGCCCTTAATATGGCGGACCCTCCGCGTGAACGCGCAAACGGAGGGGTAGGGTGTAGGGGGCGGTTTGGGAATGGGCCTAAATAGGATTGGATAAAAGCTCCAACATAAACAACCATTACTGGACGCAGCGCAACCGAGCGCAACACGGAGGAAAGCTATCAACTGAAGAAAATAGACTATTAGAAATAATTCTATGCATTTTAATGAAAAAACTTTCAAATATTAAAATATAAAAACTTTAGTCAGTGATTCTGATAGTGTTTAGGTCAGCAGAGAAGGTCTGATGGCCCACCACTAGGGAAATGATGAATAAGCACCATAACGGGGGTTACGTATTGTAACCCTAGTTATATAAGCACAGGTGGAGCGCTCTACTGGACTCGCAGTGGAGACCCAGCTAAGAAGCTGTGGTATTCTCTGGTGGCCCACTCCGTCGCCAAACCCTCCATAAAAGGAAGTTTGGCCCATGGAGGGGCTGACACAGAAAGGGCCGAATTTCTTGTGG